GGGAGGAGGCGGAACGCTGGCTCGGAGCGCGCGCGCACTCACACACGCACTCACACACTCACACACGAGCATCCCGAAGGGTATTTAAGGCTCGCACGCGCGATGCTGCGGAGATCCTTGGGGCAGCCTTGATTTCGGCCTCGCGGCTTGCTTTTGCTCCAGGGTTATTTCGTTTGCTCTCTCCTCTAGCCCCCGGGCACCCTTTTTGCGCTGCGCTCCCGCCGCCTCGCTCAGCCTTTTCTCCTGGAACTGAATCCAGGTGGGAAACAGGTCGGCGTACGGGAAAACACCGACTAGGTAGAAATAAGGCGAACTCACAGACGCAACAGGTCCGCGCTCCGGGGCGAGGCGAGCGGCCGCCCCAGCAGCCCTCGCCCGCTGTCCCCAGGCTCCTGCGTGGCCGCTCGCAGGGACCTCAAAAGAGGTGTCGGTCTTCTGGGGGACCAGCGGGGCCATCCGGGTGGGTTTCATTCCGGTTTTTATTGCCACCAGTCCCCAGACTGACGGTGCTCTTCGCCCTCAGCTGGGAAGGGAAAAGAAGGCGGAGGACGGTCCACGACTGCTGGTCTCAGCGCTAAGGAGAGCGGGGGTCCATCTCCGCGCCCCGGCTCCCACTCCGCCAAATAGTTGTGTAGCCACCGGGACTGAACTTTGGACGAGTCGTCCTTTTTCTTTCCTTTTAAGATTATTGGAAGTGGTAGAGGGTGGGAGGCAAAGCCGAGGCAGTCGACCCTGCCACGATGCTGCTGAAGAAGCCTGCAGGGAAAGGAGGGGCCCGGGAGCCGGGCTCCGAGGACTCCAGCTCCGCTGGGCTGCGTTGTGCCAGGACCATGCCCCCGTGCGCAGCTCTGGCAGCCCTCTTGTCAGTTGTGGCCGTAACGTCTTGTCTGTACCTGGGGGTGAAAACCAACGACCTCCAGGCGAGGATCGCCGCTCTCGAATCCGCCAAAGGGGACCCTTCCATCTGTCTGCTTCCTGATTGCCTGGATCAGCTCAAAGCAATGGTGCAAGAGAAAGTGGAGCGACTTCTGGCTCAGGTGTGAAAGGCTGGGGTATTTTGCACGTGGATAACATCTTGCACAGGCGTGATTCTGTGTACACGACCAGCCTCTGCCCTTACTGTCCTCATACTTGGTGTGGCTGTGTGTGCATGTGCTAGAAGACCATCTCATTGTAGTATGTATTTGCATATGCACATCCTTTGATATCATCCTCTCTATCTGTATCATTTCCCTCACTCTTCTGAATATTTGCATGTTAAACAAATATGGAAATCTAAATGGGGAAAAGGTGACCAGAATGGCAGGGTGATATTTTATATCCTTTTAGTTTTCCAGAGTCATATGTGGATCTTCTCTAGTTTTGTGGAGAATATTCCTTGCAGAGAGAATATTTATTATGTCCTTTGTATATTCTAAGAAGGTTAGGGCCACAAGTCTTATTAACATACAGATGGTAATCACTCTTAAGAGTGAAATAACCCTAAATGTGATTTAAAATCAATCGTATCACACATTGAATGTGTTTGTATTAAATGTTTAAAAAGGAAAAAAATAGCTAATTTTTTTGTAAGAGATGTAATGCCAGGGGCGTTTATGAATGCAGAGCCATTGGACTTGGGAGTTGAATGAAATGTACATTGTTTATCAAAACCAGGGGCACTTTCGAACTAGAGTTAGGTTTTTTGCAACTTGCTCTTCCAATAGAGAGGCTGTTTGGCAGTAGTTGCAGCACAATATGATAAGCCATTGACTTTCATATATAAAATATTGGCTGTTTTAAAATCTATAGCTTAACCTACAACTGCAACATGTTAATGCCAGGTTTTGCACTGACTGCATAAGCTTGAGCTGAGGGAGAGGGTGGTGGTACTGGAAGAATGGAGAAAGATGTTATACAAGTCCCACAGGCTTGATATCACATCAATGGTCATTTTCTTTTTTTAGGGCTTGGGTACTGTTACCTTTTGACTAAAGTCCAAGTACATATGTAAACTTTAGTTATGCAGGCTATCAAATGCTCGTAAATCAAGCAGAGACTTCCTAAAGAAACCATTTTTCTACAGTGCTACTGATGGTTCTTAATATCTCTTTTTTTCCCTGCAGAAATCCTATGAACATATGGCTAAAATAAGAATAGCAAGAGAAGCACCTTTAGAATGCAACTGCCCAGCAGGTAAAGTGGAACATTTATAACAAGGTTTGCTCCATAGCAGAGCATTTTAAAACAAAAGTCCCATGTCTGTCAAGTCTACCTGTAATAATAGTAAAGAAAGAATGCAGACCCAACTTACTTTAATAAAATCAATATGTCTCAGTCGAAAGAATGGTAAATAAAGCCCCAAATATTATTTTAAGCAACATACCAAGGTCTGTTATGGGAAAGCAAAGGAGAGATAATCAACAAGGAAAATATAAGCAAGATGATGTATAAAGGTGAAGTTCCGAGATCCACAGATTGAAAAATATTCTTTGATTTTATTCAATTTTAATGTCTATGGAGAAAAGGACTGCAGAACATGTTAGATTCTGAATTGCCTGGTGGCTAATGTTGCATTAGTGCAGCTTTCCGTTTGTTCCCTTTGACATATGATTATATTAGTAAACCACTTTCGCTTCTTCCGCTTTTATTCTTTTCTGTCAAAAAATGTGCTCTCTCCTATAGCTAACTAGTTATCTTGAGCTTCCCATTGCAAACTACTGCATTCTCATTGAGCTCTCAGAAAAGGTGCCATTTTTACCATTTTTCTGTGCAGCTTTAGCGAACTATATTAATGCTAGCATATTAGAGAAGGATGGAAAAGAGAGACATCAATGAATAAAACCCCTAGGTAATCATTAAATCTTCCTTTATAGACCTCTGAGGCTTCCTACATAGTCAGTCATTTGTAGACCTAACAATTTAGAAGCCCTTTGAATATGTCCATTGGAAAACATCTTGTGGATTTCAACTGATAAAAGCCATGAAAAACTCCCAGGAGTTGAGATTTTTATTTCAGATAAATGTTGTTAATGCATTTATGAAAATTTAGTTTCTTTTATCATGACTTATGGGTAAGTGAGTCTCTTACATTTTCTGTAATGTCCAGGCACATGATACTTAGATAATTAAATATGGAAAGGCTAGTTCCTATATTTTTTCATATTCTGAGATAGTCTAACAATAACTTGTTTTTTCCTCACTATAACACAGTTATACCAGACACCGTGTTTAGAAATTTTAAGTGTCAACTCCCAGTTGAACATCATAAAGTTGTACTTTTTATCTTCTGCTACATCGTTGACCATAATGGAACTGTATATACATATATATTTTTTGTAAATGAAGCCCTTTCAATTAAGTTAACAAAGAGTTAATGTTTGACATTGTAAGTTTCATTCTTGCTTGTTTTAAGTTAGGAAAGACCTCAGAAGTCAGAAATTCAAGGAAGGCAATTTTCTAGTGCAGGAATTAACTCTCAACAACCTCATCAGCTTGTAGAGATTATTTAAATTCCCAAGACAGTTGGTATAGGACTTCACTGATCATACCACTTAGAGTCTAGCATTTTCTCTATACAGTACTTGCTAGCTGTGTAAAAAATAACTAATATTTAATAAATAGGATTCTTAGTGAATGGGGTAAAAAGAAAAGTGACAACCACAGCACTGTTTGTTTTTGGATTTAACTGCTTCATGATGTTTGATGTAAGCTAGTTGTCACGGTTTAATTTGTGATCTGGAAGAAAGTTAATTACATTTAGAGTTTACCTTATATTATCTTGGAAGAGCCTTTTGAACCATTTTTCTTCTTAACACAGCAATTGAATAATAAATGGCGATTTCACCATAATAATAAATAAATAATAAATGGCGTTTTCCTTGGCTTTTTTTGTTGGCTCTCACTAATGGCTGCTTTACTTTCTTGCTACCACTAGAGCTCCACATTACATCAGTTTTCACTAGGTTACTTGAGAGGTAAATTTTTGAAGGTGTACATTCCAATACATAGAATTAAACAGGTTTCTTGCTGACAAATCACTATTATAGAAACACTCTCTTCTGCTTGTGGAATAATTAGACACCATCCAAATAAAGGCATTATGTTGAAAATACTATCTTGGGAGAAAACTAGTTATTTTGAATTATGGTCAGTGAGGTATTGTTTTAGGGAATGAATGGGCTGGCAAAGAAGATTAGAAAAGAGATACAGTGCTTCCCACCTGGTTTGGCTCTAACACTCATTTGCAGTGACTAAGAGTTGTCACCCAGACATCTGTTTGTAGGGCAGAACGAGACAAGTCTGTGACCTCAGCTTGCTCAGTTCCTGTGGAAAGATGCCTACCCCTTGAAGTTGACACTCTTGTTGACAGTCTCCTTCACAGAGCCAAGGACTGATAGCAAAGGACTAATGCTGTGTTGTTTGTGTTCACTTTAATTGCTTTTGATAGAACTCAGTCCCATTGAGGTTTATCCTGGTAGGCCATAAGGAAACTATGGAATTTATAGATTTTTTTTAAATAGATTTTTTTTTTTAAACATGGAAAGGAACTTAATATGAAAGAGGGATGAGAAGGGAAGCACTCTCATTTAATTTTCACAGCAACCCTGAGAGTTAAATATTAGTGATCTCATTTTACAGATGAGGAAATTGGACTCAGAGAAGGTGACTAACTTAACATAGCAAGGGCAAGGTCAGGATTCACGCTACATCTGACAGAATCAAAAGCCCAAAGTCTAGTGAGGAATAGCGAATGAGTATAGGTTTTGGAGCTAGACAGTTCTGGAATGGAATCCTGGGTCTGCTACTAAATAACTGTGTGACCTTGGTCAAACTAATGAACTTTGTGTTTCGGTTTCTCACCTGCAAAAAAGTAGCTAATAATACTTTCCTTATAGGATGGTAATTTAAACAGTCTGGCATATTAATAGCTATTCATTAGATGATAACAATTACTATTCTTTTTACTATATTATGTGCTATTTAACTTTAATCTGGTCCTTTGAGACACATGAAATAGGAAAACTGAGGTTTGGAGATGTATAACTTGCTCAAAACCCAGTGGCTAGTTCATGACAGGTTTTGGATTAGAACACTATGCTTAATTGTACAAATATATTTGTAGATCATTTATGCAGATAGTCAGTATCTCTTAGTATTGCACCAAGATATTTATATTAGCCTACTAAATTATTTTTTCAAAATTGCAGGAAAAACTTTTGACCTTGTAGGTGTAAACCATGATTGAAATGGATAAAACTTGAGCTTAAAAGTATATGGGGATATTTAAGAATGTCTACAATTTTGATGCTAGGTGTTTATAAAAAGAAATGCTGTATGTATCTGATTCATTTTCACACTTATTTTTAACAAGTTTATTGAAGTGTAATTTATAATATTTACCCATTTTAAGTGTATAACTTAAAGATTTTTAAAATTTATAGAGTTTGGCAGTCATCACCATAATCCAATTTTAGATCACCTTCCTCACTCCTGAAAATTCACATTTACATTTTTCATATACTCAGAAGCTCAATTTTTTGAATATTTGCTTTAAAGAAACCCCAAAATAAAATTGAAAAACAAAAAAAATCCCATACAAATTGGAGCTCTATTTAGCAGAATGTTTGATTCGTCAATAGCTGAACCATGGAAATTCAGCTGGCCCCTGTGGCTTGGCCTCTGTAAAACCTGACCCTCGTATTTGAGAATAAATTGGCTCTTTGCTCTGGCTGTAGAATTCCATTTTGGGTTCTGTTCTTGGAGTCCTACATAAAGTTTGTATAAACCAGGCATATTTATGGTGAAGGTTTCTATGTTCCAGTTGATAACACTGGGAGCTAGGCAGCCAACCAAATGATATTTGGATCACAAATGTTTTTGTGCCTTACTCATCAGTACTGTTGTCTACCCAGGATATTAGGCGTAAGAACCTCTGTGGTGTAATGGATAGAAAATGTGAATGGGCAATAAAGACTCCAGAATTCTCATCTTGGCTTTGTCATTAACATGTTATACAATCTGGGGCAAGCCATTTCTATGAATGACTTTTACAGACTCTATTTTCATATCCCCAAAATAAAATTGTTGGACTAGAATGATTTGAAGGGCATTTGTCACTTTTCCAGATATAAAGAGCCTTCTGTGTGCCAAATATGCTAGATACTTGGAATATGCTGATGAGCAAGGCAGACTTGGTATCTGCCCTCATGGAGCTTACATTTCAATGAGGATGATAAACATCTATTTAAAATTGATATGAATTTACAGGTGCAACAAGTGCAACTGAGAAAATGAACAGTATGCTTTGGAGCACGTGACCAGAATTTCTTCCGTGTTGTAAATACTAAGGATTTTTTTTTCTTTTCTTTGGGGGAAAAAAACGGAAATTCACAGTCGGAGAAAATCATAATATGTGAAGATCTGGCACCTGATTACTGATAAAGCTGTAGCAATGGATAAAAAGCTGATTGGCACAGCCTTACCTGGCTTTGGCTTTCCAAGAATTCATGGTCAGATGAAAGTGCACAGACACCTTGTTTACCTACACTGATACCCAACTGAAACAAAAAAGTACCTATAATATATAAAGGGTTGTGGTAGATAGGATGGTGATTTATTCTTCTACATTTCTCCTGAAACAGTGAGATTTGGGTTCATTAAGAGTTGAAACTTCCTGCCTGGTGGTACTGAATAGTACCACCTGACATGGTTTTCCTGCATTCACTGATAATGATGAAATCTGGTTGTCTGTTCGTGGCGAGTTTAGCTAGAGATAAAAAAGATATACCACATAGTTTCTGAGGTCCCTGTATACCCAAGTCTATGAACATGTATGTATGCAAAATAAGAATAAATGTAGACAAGTAAAGTCCTTCTGATTCATATATGTGAGTGATATAGTCTTTGGTGCTGCTTTGTGACATCCTCTCAATTTTGAGTGAAAATAAATGTCAACTGTAGCTTTAAGATTATGCACTTTCCCCATTGTATGAGAAGACCTTTAAATTACCTTACTAACATAAATTTACTTTATCATATAAACCTGTATTACCTACTAATAACGTTTGGCATAGTGGTTTCTCACTACGCTGCATGTTATTCTTAACCAGCAGCACAATGAATGGAAAGATTGCATCTAGTCAGGGCATAAGACTGTGTAGATTTTCAATTGTGTAAGGTGAAGAATAGTCAGA